ACCGAAAAAAAAAAAAAAAAAAAAAGGTTTGCTGAAGAAACCAATGAACTTATTTTCCAAAAACACCTAACTAGCAATGAGCATATTAAGCTGCCCCCAAATGGGACGACTCCTATGTACTTCTGAGAATGCAGCTGGAGGTGCCCCCAGCAGCGCATGGCGGAGCGGGGAGCCCTGTGACTCTATGTGAAGGTCACTAGATGACTAAACGCGGAATCCTTGTTCAAGTTCAAACAGGGTTTTACTGGAGAATACATCCTTTTGGATATTAGCAGGTCCTGTTTGGCAAATTCCCAACAGAAATGCGGCAGAAGGGAGACTCCACACCTTTGGTCACCTTCACCATCTCTAAATGCCGGGACCCAGAAGTGAAGAGCTGGGATGGGTGCACCGAGTGAGAACAGCCGTCTCATCACCAGTTGGTCGGGTGGGAATACTGCTGATCTTATTTAGGTATTATGCTTTCTGCCGATTTAGAATTCAGAACTAATTCCTTCAGTGCTTTAGTCAAAATAAACTGAGAGAGTGGCAGAGATGTCCACATGCGCAGGATCGTTTAGTCCTGTGGGGGCCAGTGAGGTGACACGATGCTTGATTCTGGACAAAGCACGTCCTCTCCCTGCCAGGCTCAGTCCTAGAAGAGCTGGAGGAGGTCTCCGCCCGATAGACGCAAGGCTCCTGATTTAGCAGCACAGCGCCCTGGGGTCCCCAGGCCTCCTCCACACATAGTTTGGGGTCCCGCACGACATCAAGGATGAAGGTGGCTACGGGAGGCCATGGAATCGAGGTGGAGTGAGAGTCCACACTGACGGGGAGGACGTCACCCAGCCAGGAGGCCAGGACAGAAGGGGAGGGGGCCCTGCAGGGTGTCGTGGTGCCGAGGGTGGAGGTGTTTCAGGAAGGATGGACTGAACAAGGCAGAAACAAAGGCCTCCACAGCCTCTGGCCACTCCCAGCGGCCTGCTCCTTCCAGCACCCATCTGCTTTGTTAATAATCTGTCACCTTCCCTGGTTGGTGAGCTCTGCCAGGCAGGAGCAGACAGGCCTTGGTTACCACTGAACCTGGCGCACAAACCCCTGCGCAGTGAGTCTGTGCTAAGTCAAAGCGGGGTCAGATGAAGCTGTGAAGGGCCCTGGCCGTGGCCCTCGGGAGTCCCTGGAGTCAGACCACAGGGCGGGGCTGCTCCCATGAGGGGAAGGAGGGCAGGGCAGCTGAGAGGGGAGGCACGCTGGGGAGAAGGGACTTTTTCTTAAATAGGTTTGAGGGAGTTTGAAGGCCAGAGAGAGGCAGGGATGGGGCGGGCACGCGGGAAGGCGGTCAGGTGGCCAGCTCTGCCCTCTCCCCGGCTGGCGCTGCTGTGTCCTGTGTGGCCGCTGCTTACAATCCAGAGCTTGCCCTGCACTCCGCGACCCAAAGGACTGATCTGGAAGGCTGGCCCGGCCTCGATCTGTGTGATTTGCCGGCCTGGGCTGGCACAGTCAAGGCTGTGAGGCAGCCCGGGTGCTTAACAGGACTTAAAAGCGGGACTTCTCATCGGGCACAGGCCAAGACAGAGCAAACATAGATAGAAAATGACCACATGAAACAAAGTGGAGACATTCTTCTGAATAGTGTGAAAATACTTCTGTAATGCAGTATACAAATACTTTTTTAAATGAAGTTTTTGTGTCCTTGTTGCATTGAGAAGTGGTGACCCCATATCCTATACCTCAGGATGACCCACACTTGCATTTCAGATCTACTGTCCTGCAGGTACAGCTGCCATTGTTAAGAGCATGTTTCCCATCTTGACACCATAATCACAGTTTACACAATTGCACATGGAGGGTATTCACCTTCAAACTATGCTTTCTATAATTTTAGCAAGACAGGAAGAAATACCTCTTAAAAAAAGCATGTTTATAACTGTGTAAAAACAAGAATGATAGCATCTTACATTTTGCATTTAAATTTTTTTTTTTTTAACATCTTTATTGGGGTATAATTGCTTTACAATGGTGTGTTAGTTTCTGCTTTATAACAGAGTGAGTCAGTTATACATATACATATGTTCCCATATCTCTTCCCTGTTTGTCTCCCTCCCTCCCACCCTCCCTATCCCACCCCTCCAGACAGCCACAAAGAACCCAGCCGGTTTCCCTGTGCCATGCGGCTGCTTCCCACTGGCTATCTACCTTACGTTTGTTAGTATATATATGTCCATGTCTCTCTCTCGCCCTAACACACCTCACCCTTCCCCCTCCCCATATCCTCAAGTCTGTTCTCCAGTAGGTCTCTGTCTTTATTCCTGTTTTACCCCTAGGTTCTTCATAACATTTTTTTTTCTTAAATTCCATATATATGTGTTAGCATACGGTATTTGTCCTTCTCTTTCTGACTTACTTCACTCTGTATGACAGACTCTAGATCTATCCACCTCATTACAAATAGCTCAATTTCGTTTCTTTTTATGGCTGAGTAATATTCCATTGTATATATGTGCCACATCTTCTTTATCCATTCATCCGACGACGGGCACTTAGGTTGTTTCCATCTCCGGGCTATTGTAAATAGAGCTGCAATGAACATTTTGGTACATGACTCTTTCTGAATTCTGGTTTCCTCAGGGTATATACCTAGTAGTGGGATTGCTGGGTCATATGGTAGTTCTATTTGTAGTTTTTTAAGGAACCTCCATACTGTTCTCCATAGTGGCTGAACCAATTCACATTCCCACCAGCAGTGCAAGAGTGTTCCCTTTTCTCCACACCCTCTCCAGCATTTATTGTTTCTAGATTTTTTGATGATGGCCATTCTGACTGGTGTGAGATGATATCTCATTGTAGTTTTGATTTGCATTTCTCTAATGATTAATGATGTTGAGCATTCTTTCATGTGTTTGTTGGCAGTCTGTATATCTTCTAAATTTTTAATTCATATCAAACCTGAGATAAAGCCAGCAATTTCAGTCCATGTAACTCTTAAAATTACTTATTTTTCTAAAGATCAATTGACCTTGAATGTGAGAATTTATTTTGAAAAAGTATTTTAAGAAAAAAAGGAGTCCCTAAATTGATATACAAAGTTGCTTTACCATCTTAGCGACTGGATGGAAAATAGCTCCCTCATCACAATGATCTTGGAACATTGAAATAGATTCCCTTTCCTTTTAAGGAAATAATCATTTTCTTACCTTAGACAAGTCTGACCATCTGGTTTTTGCTTTGGTAACAAGATACGGATGAGCCTGTTCACAAGCTAGTTCGGAATCTGCAACCTTCTGTTTTGGTCTTAAAAGAAAAAAAAAAAAGAATTTGTTTAAATTTAATGGACTCATTAATCCCCCAAGGGATTCTCCTACCCCAGTTTGTTTCAAAGATAGCGTTAAAGCCTGCTATTTCACATCTGGTCTAACTTAATTCTTAAAATACCGTCTTATTTCCCCAGCTGCATATTAGGGAAATCTTAAATTTTAGGAGTACTTGCTTATTTCCAGATAAATGCTGTTCAACTTTTCCTGCAGTTCACAAAACAAAAAGGGCTCATTTATTCCCAGAGGGATAAAAAACACACTATAACATTGTCTTCAGATGAAGACAACTAAAAACTTTTATTTCTGAATGTACACGTTGGCGTGATCGTGCAGACCAAAGCAAACAGTCCAGGAACACTGTGGGAATGTGACCTACAGACTCAATCTCAGCTCATGTTCATAGGTTACGTCTGTGGGATGTAAAATGATCAAAACTCTACTCACAGAACGATGGGCGCCAAGGACACTTTAAAAAAAGACTGTGGCTAGGCCTCCACGGGGCGCAGTGAAGACTGTGGCTGAAGGAGTTTGGGGTGCCCTGGATTCTTCCAATCACTAAAACAAATTAGCGGCACGTGAAACCCTGTAAAACCCTTCCCCACTTCTTTCTCCGTGGTCGCCTTGCTTGGAACCACGCTTGCGCACAGGCACGTGGGTGATCAGTGCATCTTGCCTGAGGGTGAGAGTAAGGGGGACACCTGAGCGAGGCCCCACAGGGACACTCACAGGAACTTCCTCTCAAGGGAACCTGGAAAACCAGAGTGGGGACAGCACACAAGCCCCATGTCGCCCTTCTAAAGAAGTGGCATTATTCATGCTCCAGCAGGTGAGCTGCTCGTAAGGAAAAAAAATCTAAAGTCAACCAGGAGGCCGCCAGTTGAGAAAATGCAGCAGTCAAAGGTTTATGTGATCCCCAAAGATGTGGCTTTGTAGCTGACCCTTTGTATGTGATGCCAGGTGGGGAGCACTGTGGTTTTAGGGTAATCGTGGCCTCCACAAGCTCTGTGACCAGTCAGGCTGGAACTACCGAATCTGGGTTTTCACACCAGTGCTGGCATTGCCACCCCAGTTTGCAAAAGGGAATGCTGTGGTTTAGAGAGGTGAAATCGCCTGCCAAAATTGCACAGCCAGTACCGGGAATCCTGGCACTGAAACTCAGGGCCCTCCCATGCCAGAGGAAAGCCTTTCTCACCGTTGTCATTCCGTCTGAAGCTACAGTTTTGGTAGCCCCTCTAACTTCACTCCTCAGAGGAAAGGGTCCATTAAATATTACATTTCACAGAGGCGAGGGCCACCTTACACACACAGGATCTCCTTTTCACTTAACGTGTCTATTTCAATTCAACCAGAGCAGTTCTGCTGAGCACCGCTGAGTGCCAGGCACTGTGTGAGGTCCTGGGGAAAGTGAAGCCTGCAGCGTCCCAGAGAAGGCCCTCCTGGAACATCACGCTACTGCCCTACATTTTAAAAGCAGACAGCAGGGCACAGCACTGCAACCAACAAATTAAGCAGTAATCATTGCTCTTCATGTGGCTTCTCCTTTAAATCCTTTCTAAGAAATTCTGCTGCTGATCTCAGCTATCCTGGACCACTCCTCAGGTCCCCCGATGACTGACAGTGCTCCGTACACACTGGTCACCAACAACATCGTGGCCCTCATTACCCCAGAAGCCCACACTGTGCTGTTGACTCATGTGTCACACGGAAAGGGTCTTATTCAGACCAGCGCTTCTTTGGTGAATTACATAAACTTTGACTCCTGTGGTTTGGCAAACAAAAAGTCTTGCATTTCCTCAGTGGGCAGGTGCTGAGGACCCGCTGCAGCTGGGCGGGGTCTCCTCCCTCTTCCCATGTCGCTGCTGAAATGGACCAAATGAGGTCATGCCCACTTTCATTTTCTCTCCTGGCAGATGCCAGCCTGTGGGGAACACAGGTGAACTATGGTGGCACACGCCCCCTGACTCCCCCCCCCCCCCCCCAACACACACAGTCTTTAAATTCGTCAGTTGCTTCTATATTACCAAGTCCGGGGTCTCTGCTGGCTTAACGTGTGACGCTGTTAAGCATCTCCCCCTCTCTAGTCACCTTCATGATGCTGCTCTTTAATGGGCTGGAACACCCACCACCTGGCAAATGTGTGCCCTCAGTGAGTGACTCTCCCCCTCTGCCTGCCCCCTCGACCACTCCTCTCTCCTTCCACCCCAAAGCTTATGTCCTCTTCTGAGAGGTCATCCCTGCTCCTGTCCCCAGCTACCACCTGGATGCCGTTTGCCCACACTTCTGTGCCATTAGCATGGTAACCTCACCTGCTTCTCCATTCTATCTCCAGCTGTTTACCAGACTTCACAGAATCATGGAATTTCAAGGGTGGAAAAGGATCCAAAGATCAAGCAGTCTAATCTTCTATCGTTACTTTACCACTAAGGTTTTGGAAGGTTGGGTAGATTATTTTGCATGTTCACAACTACTGTTTAAAAGGACTGTAGGTCCTCATGAGGCCTATTCCCGTGCCTTCACCGTTAGGTGCCTCGTAAATCCTGTCTGAACCCAGAGGACGCACCTGGACTTCCCGCAAAAGGATGGAGATCCTGAGAGGCGTGTTCTATCTCTGCAAAGTCAACTCACTATCAAGCTGATCTCACTGCCTAGACACATGTCCAAGCAGCCTCCCTACCCAATTCCTTTTTCAGGCTATGAGGCTTGATTATTTTTCTTAGTGACTCGTGCTCAAACCAGGAGCTCCTACCTATTTCCCATTCATTTCTCCTCTGTACCATTTTATATCCTTGTCTCCTCTAGAGAGATTGGAAGGTTTTTCTGTGGCCTTTTCCAGAAGTTACTTATTTTCTCTCCTATTGTCTGCCTCTTTAGATCTTGACAATCAGTCAGATCCAGCCTTCCTATCAGCCAGACTGTCAGTTACAAATACATACAATGTGCTGCTCTAAGTCCTACAAACACAATGATGAGCATGGTGAACAGAACCCATGTCCTCAAGGAGCTCATCCTGTGATGGCAGGAATGTAGAGCAAACACATGGAAAAATAAGTGAATCAGATAACTTCAGCTACTGAATGTGACTGAGAATGATGGACCAGGGTGGGGTCCGGGGCATTTCAGCCAAGAAGACCAGAGAGCGGGGACTCCTTGAGGCCTGAGTGATGATCCAGTTAAGATGGAGTAGACACACATACTTACTTCATCCTGTCTCTTCCACTGGTTACAGCCAAAAACTCTAGACAGAATACAAAAAGTAACTCTCTGAAGATGGTAAAAAGTAAATAATAGGAGGCTTATGGAGAGGGAAGTCAAAACTTAAAGAATGACTTATATAATGGTGAGATTCATGGGCTTTTTTCCTCCCGTATTTCCAACTTAAGGGCTGCTTACAGGCAGTCCTAATTCTGGAACTGTGCAGTGGACATGGACAGAAAAATCTCCAAAAGAAAGTCTGTTTTTCTGACCGAAGAACTAGGAAGGTGAACCCCTGAAGTACAAAGAGCATGGGGGGGGGGGAATCCCCCCTTTCTTGTCTCTTTTTACTGTTCACTCCTGATCTGAGGCAAGCCCAGTGACAAAACTGCACGTCTATGGTGGTGCCAGCAATAGTATTGGCCAAGTAGGTACCCACAACTGAAATTCTTCTCTCTAACCAGAGGAGATGGTAAAAGGGGTCCCTGTGTTCAGGGAGGATTGGAGAAGTCCACATTATTTTCTCTTTCTCGTTTTTCTCTCACCATGTTGGCCTGGAGGGGGACCCAGTCAAGAGAAGCACTCAGTAGCACAGAATGGCTAAAACCTAAGATTGTCCAACCAGAAGAACAAAAAAGGGGTCCCTGAGTGCTGGAGAGTGTGGGGAGAAATCATAGAGAGGGCTAGAAAAAGGGACGCCCAAATGAATGAAGGAAGTTCCAGGTTCACCTGTGATGTGCACATGTGTGAAACCAACCCAAAGCAGCACAGTGAAAGCTTTGAGAACTTTACTACAGTGTAGTTAAGACTGTCTCCTGCGTGCTGCACTCACGGGCTGACCTGATAGAGCTACAATGGCTTTGAAAACTGAACTGATATTGAAACCACAGAAGGCAGGTCAGGACTTGCACTCTGAAACTAAATGGATTGATTGCCTGCCTAAAAAAGATCAATCAGTCAACGCATTACCAAGGATCTTAACAGGACCAGAGTGTCACAATATAACATTAAAAATGTCCATGATACAGTCCAAAATTACTCAATGTACAGAGGACCAGGAAAATCCCAACAATTTTCAAGATAAAAGACAGCAGGCACCAACTCCAAGATGACCCCAATTTTCAAGATAAAAGACAGCAGGCACCAACTCCAAGATGACCCAGATGTTGAAATTATCATATTTAAAAGCAGCTATTATAACCATGAAGTAAGAGTACACATTCTTAAAATAAATGGAAAGACAAGTTCTGAGCAAAGAAATTGCAGTCAAAGAAAAAAGAACCAAGTGGAAACTTTAGAACTGGAAAAAACAACAACTGAAATAAAATTTTCACTGGATTGGCTCAATGACACAATGGAGATGACAGAGGAGTGAGTCAGTGAACTTGAAAATAGATGACTAGAAATAATCTAATCTGATCAACAGAGGAAAAAGAAAGAATATATCTCCAAGGACTATGATAGAGAGACCTGTTGATACAAAAACAAAAGGTCTAACATCCATGTCACTGGAGTACTGAAAGAAGAGAAAAAGATTGGTACAGAAAAAAATTTAAAACTTCAGGAAATAATAGCTGAAACCTGCCCAAATTTGATGGAAAAACATAAGTTTACAGATTCAGGAAGTTCAGCAAACCTCAAAAAAGATAAACTCAAAGAAAATCATGCTCAAACACATCATACTAAAACTATTGAAAACCAAAGCTAAAGAAAAAATCTTGAAAGCAGCCTGAGACAAATGACACATTACAGAGAGAAAACCATTTGAATGACTGTAGATTTCTC